CAACGCTGAGTTTGGTCATCCTGCAGGTATGTTTTTTTTTTTTTTTTTTTGGTACCGGGATCGAACTTGGGTCCTTGAGCCTGCAAGGCAGGCAGCAGAGCCACTGAGCTAAATCCCCAGCCCCTGCAGGTATGATTCTTTTTGTACTGGCCAGAGTAAACTTCAATGGAAGTTGAGAATTTTTTGTGGAAATTGAATTGAAATGGAATTTTCCTTCTCTGGTCGTGGTGGCACACTCCTGTAATCACAGCATTCTTCAAGGCTGAGGCAGAAGTATCACAAGTTCAAGTCCATTCTGGGCAATTTACTGATGTAGTTGAGGCTGGCCTTGAACTCATGATATAGTCCAGGCTGGCCTCAAACTTGTGGTGATCCTCCTGCCTCAGTCTCCTGAGTGCTGGGATTGCAGTCATACACTACCACGCCCAGGCCTCTTTTTAAAATTTTTATTAATACAAGTTTGCAGTACCTAATGATTACATTTATTGTGGGGAGTTGGTACATGTACAGAGCACATTTTCATTCTTTACTTCCTCTTTTCCCTCCTCTGTGATGATTTAATTTCTTTCTTTTTGTTTTCTCAGTGTCCAGGATTGAACTCAGGACCTTATGTTTACCAGGCAGGCACAGCACCACTGAGCTACATCCCTGACCCTAATTTCTTTCTTTTTTCTTTTTTTTCCTATTCTTTTTTATTTAGTGTTGGGGATCAAACGCAGTGCCTTTGCCCTGAGTTACATCCCCACTCCTTTTATTTATTTTATTATTTATTTGTTTGTTTGTTTGTTTTGGTACCGGGGCTGTAACTCCTGCCCTTGTGCTTTCAAGGCAGGTGGCGGAACCACTGAGCTAAATCCCTTGGCCCCATAACTGGACTTTTCAAAGCAGTAATCATCAGGATTTAGCGCAGCAGCACCATGCCTGCCTTGCAAGCTCAAGGTCCTGAATTCCATCCCTGGTACAAAGTGTAATCATGTTTGTAGAAAACTTCTGAAAGTAAAAATAAAATAAAATGAAACACTGTAAAACGAAGCATCTTCAAACATCCCTAAAAGCAAAGTGCACACACGGAAGTAGTAGACTTCAGACTCTGGTACCCGTTTATTTTCCTGTTGTGCTCCCCTAGGAGTTTCCCCTCGGCAGAGTAGAACAGGTCCTTGGAGGGGCCTCTGGAGAATGTCTCCCTGTAGGTTCTCTGCAGGGAGCTCTGCTAGCATATGGACTGAGGCTAATTGATCACAGAATATGAGTGTCACAAATTACTTTTCAGACTATTCAGACAGTTCCCTCATTTTTCAAGTAAAAAAACCCAAGATTTAGAAATCTGAAGTGAACTGTCTGGGACGTTTTTGCAGATAGTATACCTTCTCTCGACTAGAAACAGGTGTGGGAGGAGCAGCCTAACATTTCTGTTGCTTTGAGTTGGAAAAAACAACAGAAAAGCAGTAGTGATGAGAACCCTGAGCTGCCTGGGACATTGTGTGCCAGGCTAGTCCTGCTGGAAGTGGAGGGGCGTCTGGCCCCGCCCTGCCCACACCACTGAGCTCGTGAGTACCCTGACTTTGAAATGTCCTGCCTCGTTCGCAGGAAGCAATGCAGAGTCAAGTCACTGCCAACCCCGAGAGAGCCAGCTCCGTGACCAACCCCGTGACGGTGGCTGCGCCATTCATCTTCACCTCCGGAGAGGTGGTTAACCTCGCCAGCCTTGTGTCTTCAGCCAACACCAAAACAACCTCAGGTAATGTTCTGATAATGACTCAGAAATGAACAGACCACCAGTATTTGTAGAGATGAATGGAAACCCTGTCAAATACCCACTCCTTTATTAAAAATATTCTCCAAGCAGGACTGGGAGTAATGCTCAGTGATAAACCAACTTACTCAAGCCCCTGGTCTCAGTCTTCAAGAGCATAGAAAATAAAATAAAAAAATACTCCCCAAACAATATTTAGAATAGATTTTGTGTGTTTGTTTGTTTGTTTTTGAGACAGGGCCTGTCTATGTAGTTCAGGCTGTCTTGAACTCATGTACTCTAGGATGGCTTTAAACTCAGAACGATCCTCCTGCCTCAGCCTCCCAAGTGCTGGGATTACAGGTGTGTGCCGGCACACCCAGCTGAGATCTGTGTGTTTCAAACAAAATGTTTTTGTTTGTTTTTGTTTTTGTTTTTTACCAGGGATTGAACTCAGGACCTTGCACTTACAAGGCAGGCAGCAACACCACTGAGCTAAATTCTCTGTTGTATTTGTTTTTTTGAGACAGGATCTTGCTATATAGTCCATGCTAACCTTGAATTCACCTTGTAGCCTGGCTGGCCTCTAATACATGTTGATCCTCCTGCCTCACCCTCCCAAGTGCTGAGATTACAGGCATGGGCCAGTACACCCAGCCTTCAAGCAAAAATTTTATATCTAAAGTAGCACATGATTTTATTTTCAATGTCTCCTTTTATAGATATTTGTTTTACAGTGGAGGAGATTGTGTTTTTTTGTTTTTTTTTTTTTTCCGGTATTGGATATTGAACTGAAGGTCTTTGCAATCAGCTACATCCCCTGAAATTATTTTTTAGTTTTGAGAGACAGGGTTTCTCCTGCTTCAGCCTCCCAGAGTACTAGAATTACAGGCATTTGCTGCCACTCCTGGTTCTTGTTGTTATTCAAGGAAATTTTCCAGTTGACTCTTGGTTTCTCTGTTGTTGTTGTTGGTGGTGGTGGTTTTGACTTTTATTTAAAAACAAGCGACAAAACAAAACAAAAGGACAGTGGGAGGGGCGAGCAGGCCTATAATCCCAGCGCTTTGGAAGGTGAGACAGGAGAATCACTGTGAGTTCAAGGCCAGCCTGGGCTACACATCCAGACTCTGTCTCAGAATTTAAAAAATAAAATTGAAATGTAATATTACATACTTGATGAGGCTGTTGTTGATCTTTGAGATTTTGTATTTCAGTATGTTTTGTAACAGGGCTTCAGTAATGGTTATTAACTGAAAATATGACTTCTTTAAAGAAGGTTGACCCTGTTGTGCCCACAAGGGGGCAACAGTGACCTTCATTTTATAGGCTATCAATAGTTTTAAAATCATTTTGCTTTCAGGGAAATGATTCAGAAATTTAGCTTGAATATATATATATATAACCATAGTCAGAATATTCACAGTCTTTTGGATTTGTAGTGGTTCATATTGCACTGATAAGAGCAGTGTTTGTTTTGTTGGTGGTGCTGGGCCTCACATATGACTGAGCTACACACCCAGCCCTAGGACAATTGCTTTTGTAGTGTAAAATCTGTTAGAGTCCCATAGTTATCTGTTCACAAACTGCACCAAGAGCTGGAGGTGGTCATTAGTCCCACTACTGACATTCTCCAGATCTGTTCTGGAGCCACAATCAAAGCTGAACAGTTCAGGAGCTTGTGCCTTGTGTGCTCAAGCCAACATTGTGTTTCTCACGGGAAGTGGGTAGAGCTGCTCTTCTTTTCGCTCTGTGCTGACAGCTGCAAACTGAAATTGCTAACATTACAGCTAGAGCTGCCCGCCCATCACAGAGCTCATGGAGCACTTCTGCCTTGCTGTCCTTCTCTATCTGATTGGCCTACAAATGCTGTCAGTACAGGGAAAAGGACGGAGAAAAGCTATAAGACAAGTTCACTTGTGTACCATTCAGTTGGGCTAAAAGATTTTTTTTTTTCTGTAATGATGGGCTTCTTTCCCAGAATCCATTAGTTGTGTTCAGTTGTTTATTTTTTTCTTGTTTTTATTTTCACTGGCATTTGAACCCATAACCTTCATACTGAGCTACATTCCCAGCTTTTTTTTTTTTTTGTAGACAGAGTCTAAGTTTCTAAATTTCCAAAGCTGGGCTTGAAATTGTGATCTTCCTGCCTCAGTCTCCCATGGTGCTGGGATTATAGAAATTTGCTGCCACCACACCTGGCTTTAGTGCGTACTTTTGACGCCAGAAATCTATACTGTAAAGTTTGCTTTCAAATTGTCCATATGTGACTAACAATATTAGTTATCATCAGTGCCACCATCAAATTGTAGGGATTTGGTTATTATTTGTTTGTTTGTTTGGGTACCAGGGATTGAACTCAGGTCCCTGTGCTTCCAAGGAGTGGAACCACTGAGCTAAATCCCCAGCCCACATTGCAGGGATTTGGGAGGGCAGACTAATTTAAACATTATTCAGGGTGAAACAAACATGTCAGGATGAACTTCCTGTTTCAACACAATCATAAAGCACATTTCAGAGTCAAAGTACATTTCATAAGTAGCTTTATATCGTTTCATAGAGAACATGGGCTTTGGAATCAGATGAATTAGGTTCTAATCTGGGCTGTGATGCTTATTGGCTGTATGACCTTGGGCAGGTTACTTAATTTTCAAGTTGTAGTTTTTCCTAACTCGATGAGATCACCTACCCCACCATAAAACGTCCTACATCCTGGTCTGCAGTCTGGGCCAGGTGGGGTGGTGTATCCTTATAACCTCAGCATTTGAGAGGCCGAGGCAGGAGGAACACTGAGTTTAAGCCCAGCCTGGACTGCATAGCTAGACCCTGTCTCAAAAAGCAAAAAGCCCCGTGTCATAGTTGAAGTAGATAATTACTGGTTTTCTTGTTAGTCCCTTATATCGGTTCACATTTGATATCTGACACTTCAGGTGACCCTGAATTAGAAGTCAGGCTTGTTCTCACCTTTCTAGCCAAGGAAGCGGGAGGTGGAGCGGAGGAGGAGCCTGTTCCCTGGCACTGCTTAGCCTGGGGCGGGGCTGCTGCCCAGGCAACTCTGTGGTGCCAGCTGAGGGTTGGCGGGACACAGTTCTGTCAGCCACTGACAGCACAGTGCCAGAGAGTGATCGGAAGAGGGGAATGGAATGCTTTAGCCCTTTGCCCACCACATTAATTTGATGCACTCTAGAGGAAAATACATTTAAACCTTAGGTCTTAACATCATGATAATTGGTTTATATCGGTTTGGATTAGAGAACAAGATTAAGGGCCTTAGAGTGAAGAGCTGGAAGTTTTATTATCAAGCCTTTTTCAGTTTACCTCCATTTATTCTCTCTACCGGGCCTCATTTACCTTTTTTACTGAAATAGGTGAGCCCCATGCCTCAGCAGTACAGTTCTCAAATTCTACCACCTCAGTGCTGGCCACCCTTGCCGCCCTTGCTGAGGCGTCTGCCCCCTTCTCCAACTCACACAGAGCCGCAGGTAGGTAAGGGAGGTCTGCTGGGTGAATTACATTTCTTCTTTGTTTTCAGAACCTCCAGCAGATGTAATTTGCATGAAATATTACAGAAGTGTAGTTAAGTAGAGACAGCTAAGGAAAAAGCACATGGAGCCAGGGATTTAGCTCAGTGGTTCTGCCCAATGCCTCACAAGCACAAGGAACTGAGTTCGATCCCTGGTACAAAAAAAAAAAAAAGCAGGCCAGGCGTGGTGGCACACGCCTGTAATCCCTGTAATCCCAGCACTCGGGAGGCTGAGGCAGGAGGAGACCAGCCTGGGCTACATAGTGAGTTCCAGGTCAGCCTCAACTACATAGTGAGACCCTGTCTCAAAACAACAACAACAACAACAAAAAAAGCACATGGAGTCATTGAGTATCACAAAGAAAAAGCACTAAGAAATATTATCAGACAGCTGAACAATATGACTGAGTTATTCCTTTGTATTTTTACAGTTTGAAGCTTCTTTGCTCTGACTACAGTTGCTTCAGACTGAAATGTTTAGTCCTACATTAGCGGAGTTTTTTAGATGCTTTGTTATGTTTTGGCTGATGCAATCCTAGAATGATTCAGAGTAGCTGCCTAGGTATCTTGTATTGAAGTATCAAAATAAACGGAAGAGTCACCTTCTACATTGTCAGAGACTGTGTATTTAAGTGTGGCTTTGCTTTTATTTTCACCGAAGGTGTTATTTTGGCATTTCCAATGGAAACGGGCAGGCGTAAGTTATATAATACGCTTCTGATACTTGTTTCTAAGGCCCTTAGCCGTGGGCAGTGAAGGAAAGCTAGGGCTTCACCTAGGTAGGGGTACAGGCATAGGTAGGCCTCAGCAGATGTCTAGAAATCTTTTTGGAAACCACTGGCAGTTGCTCCAGTTTCCAAACAAAAGCAGATTGCTCCAGTTTCTTTCTGCCATCGACATTTGGGTGATGAGAGCACTTTTCCAAGTCCAGTCCTGTTTTTCTGACTACCAGTCATCATAAAAATGTCTGCCCAGATAATGTGAGTGAGTGGCGCAGCAGAGAAAAGCATTATATTAAACTCCTTGCTGTTCTTTTTTTTGGTAGTGGGGATTGCTCTCGGGCACTTGCGAGGCAGGTGGTAGAACCACTGAGCTAAATCCCCGGCCCTCCTTGGTGTTCTTTTAGTTTTCTCTTTGACCTGGGACAGATCATGTAACTCCTCCAGGTCTTTAGTGTCTTCCTCTCTGGTATGATAGTTGCCTTAGAGTGTAAGGCCTTTTCAGTCATTGTATTTAACTGTTCTTTGATTTTAAGAGATGTGAATGCTTATTTCCAGGGAACTTCCTCAGTGCATCTCACCATACCCCCATTTCTTATCGTAAAGTTCTACCTCTGCCTCTTTCCACAACGGTAGAATTGTTGCCCTTAACCCAGTACTTGGTGTATTGTGGTATTGACTAATCAAACCAAGTGTCTTCTTTCAGTATAACACACATAAAAGCCTTTCAGAAATGCCCAGAATACAGTAAGTAGGCAGTGAATATTAGCTCAACTAATATCACTGTTGTCAGTGGGAAAGGCCAGCTACCACAGTTGTCTGTCACACTTCAACGCCTAGTTAACACTCAACATGTCATTGTGTTAATTCACTATTAAATGTCTCCATTTTTTAAAAGAAATGATCTACTCTGATTTAGTTTTTTTCTAAATTTCATAGATTTTTTTAGGTTTTAAGATTCTCCCTAAGTCTGTCCCGCCATAAAGAAGGATAAGCTTGAGACATTCTAGCTAATGGATGCACTTTGAGACCATGCCTTTAAGTGAGAACACGTTTAAATACTGCATTGTTTCTCTTGTGTGAGAAACTGAAAGTGGCAGTAAGGACTAAAATGTGCAGTAGACATTGGGAAATAGGAAGAAAATGTTCAAATGAGAAGGGGAACAAGGGAGGAGGGAGGAAGGAAGGAAAGGACGAGAAAAAAGAAAATGGAAGGAAAAGATGGAAATAAAGCTTTTGTACATAAAGGAGGGGGGAATGGGGAAAAAAGAAGACGCACGATATATCAGGTTCTGGCACAAATTCCCTATGATGAATGTTATCATTATGTATATCTAAAATGTACCAGGGCCAGGGATTGAGCTCAGTAGCACTGAGTCTGCCTTGCAAGCGCAAGGTCCTGAGTTCAATCCCTGGTACTGCAAAAAAAAGGGAAAAAAATAAAATGTACCAATAAAGCTTTTGCTTTAAAAAAAAGAGCTTCTCGGGCTGGGGATTTAGCTCAGTGGTTTGGTGGCCTGCCTTGCAAGCGCAAGGACCCGAGTTCAATCCCCGGTACCAAAAAAAAAAAAAGGGAGGGCAGGGACAAAGGGAAAAAATGAGAACCAAGACCTGTCATGTAAAGGTACAAGATCCCAATAATGAATGTAACTATACTGTATACCTAAAATGTACCAATAAACTCAATTTAAAAAGAAAAAAAAATTTTTTAAAAGCTTCTCTCTAAAAACAGCTCTAAGATGAGCTTGTTGATACACTCCTATAACCTCAGCCATCCAGGAGGCTGAGGTAGGAAGATGGTAAATTCAAGCCCAGCCAGGACAATTTAATGACTTAGCAAGACCCCGTCTCATGCCGGGGATTTAGCTCAGCGGTTCCGTGGCCTGCCTTGCAAGCACAAGGACCCGAGTTCAATCCCCAATACCAAAAAAAACAAAAGCAAGACCCTGTCTCAAAATAAAAAGTAGCTGAGGACATAGCTTAGTGCCAAGGCCCTGGGTTCAATACCTGGTACCACTAAAAAGAGCTCAAATAATTGGGGAAACCCAAGATGTTCTATACACTGCAGGAGACGCCCAGGGCCCATTGAAACTTCTGGTGTTTCTTGCAAAATATAAAGGTGTAGGCGTATTTAAACTGACCTTTGCCGGGCATGGTGGCACACGTCTGTAATCCCAGCACTGAGGCAGGAGGATCGCTGTGAGTTCGAGACCAGCCTGGACTACATAGTGAGTTCAAGGCCAGCCTCGACTACTTAGTGAGACCCTGTCTCAAACCCCCGCCCCCAAAAAAATAAATAAATAAACTGACCTTTGAGGGCTGGGATTTAGCTCAGTGGTTCTGCCACCTGCTTCCCAAGCTCAAGGACCTGAGTTCGATTCCTGGTACCAAAAAAAAATTAAACTGACCTTTGAAAATGTACTTATAGTTCCGGGGATTTGGCTCAGTGGTTCTGTCACCTGCTTCGCAAGTGCAAGGGACCGAGTTTGATCGCTGGTACCAAAAAAATAATAATAATACCTTTAGGGTGAGGGATTTAGCTCAGTGGTTCCGCCGCCTGCCTTGCAAGCACAAAGTCCCAAGTTCGATCCCCAGAACCAAAAAAAGAAAATGTACTAATATGTGGAACCCATCTTCATGAAAAGCTATTAACATCTCAGTGAAGACATGTTAGAGAATATTGTTGTAATGTATTCCCTATTTTGTTTTCTTCCTTGACTAGCAGCGTTCACAAAAGCTTTTGTAAATTGTTGAATATTTTTTATTTTCAGTTTTTCCTCTCCTTGAATAGCATCAATTTCAAGGAGGATGAAGCTGCTGTCCTACTTTTTAAAGAGCTGAAATATTAAATTTACTTTCTTTACCTCTAGTCAGTCCAGAAGAAATCACAGAGGGAGATTCAGTTGACTCATCGGTCCAGCAAGTGGTGGGGAGTGGAGGCCAGAGAGTGATCACCATAGTGACCGATGGGGTCCCTCTGGGGAACCTCCAAGCTGCCCTCCCTGCCGCAGGCCTGGGCCAGTCACTCATCGTAACTATGCAAGATGGACAGCAAGGTGAGTGATCCCTGGGAGGTAAGCTGCTCATTAGAAGATGCTTTGTAATCTGCACCTCTGAAAATGAGCATTAGGACAAATAGTGGGAATGAGAAAGTCCCAGCAGCAAGACGGGGCAAATAAACTCTCAAATAGAAAAGAGGGCAAGTGTGGTGGGTGCCCGCCTGTAATCCCAGCGCTCAGGAGGCTGAGGCAGGAGGATTGCTGTGAGTTCAAGGCTACCCTGAACTACAAAGTTGAAACCCTGTCTCAAAAAAAAAAAAAAAAAAATTACACATATATATCTATATATATAGTATGTAACTTTATATGTATGTATGTATGTATGTATTTTTGATTTTCTGTTTGTTTTCAGTGGTGCTGGGGGTGGCATCTAGGCCTTAGGCCTGCAGCTCTCTACTACTGAGCTACACAGCTCAGCATGTAACCTTTGAGACTGCCTTTTTTCTGCCTTTTTTTTTTTTTTTTTTTTTTTTTTTTTTTT